TTCTTCTTTTTTTTTTTTTTTTTTTTTTGTTAGATGACTAGAGTGTTTTTTTTACCGCATGCAGCAAATAATCTATCTAAGAAACCATTGACTCTGAATGTAATCTTTCTGTCTAGTAAATCAATCTATACACAATGATATAGATGGAAGCCATTGTGGCTTATGACTATGATAGTTTCTATTGATTTAGAAGGATTCCAAATGTTGTATGCTGTGTCTATTATTTTAGATTGACTGGTATTGTAATCAGGAAATCATGATTCTTCCAATTGGAGCTAGCAAGTTTGAAGAGGCATTAAAAATGGGCTCTGAAACTTTCCATCACTTAAAGGTGCGATTTCATTCACCACAACCGTTGAATGGAGTTTTAATTCATGTCGTCAATGCATTCAATTATGCTTATTTATAACTTTAGGTGTATTACATGGTGAAAGTACCAGTTCAAATATCTTGTAGAGAAAAATCTTCTTCTTCTTCTTCTTATTTCTGTGCACGATCATCCATGATACTCATATGTATATCTATATTATCAGATAGAATGTATTACTATTTTAATTTCACAATTTATTGAGGATGTACGTGTCTTTTTTTTGTCTTGTGTGTGTGTGTGTGTGTATTTTCTAAGTATTACACCTCATTGAAGGATCTAAGTATCAAAAGTATATCTTAATCTTCTATTTTAGCTTTTAAATTCTTCTTCTCATAGCATATCACATGCATAGCACTAAGTTTAGTGATTCATAGTCGTCCATATACTTGTCCAAAACCTTGAGGCACTCTCTGCCTCTTGGCATGCTCTATTATTGTTGTCCTGTGTTATGTTCCTTAACAATTATTATAGCTTACCAAGTGTGTTGAAAATGCCAAAATCATAGACTAACATTTTGCAAAGTTGTGCATGGTTTAATCACTTATCATTCTACTTATGAATAATGCCATTCTATTTTCCTGTGGGTCTTTGCTTTTTCGTACTTAACTATCAAAGTTTGTTCTATTTGGAAGCGACATTGTTAATTATTCCATATATTACTAAAAATGTAATTTCCTTGGAAAAAATGGCAGGCTGTAATTTCTGAAAAGCATGGTGCCCATGGATGTAATTTTGGTGAAGATGGTGGATTTGCTCCAAATATATCCAGGCAAGATACAAGTTCCAAAATTTCTTGGTTTGTTCATATGGATCTGTGGAGCTTCTTTTTTTTTTTTCCTAGCCATCAAGAAGAACATTCTAGCATGAGAAGGATAGATTACACGTTTGGCGAACCCTGCATACTACATTTACTTTTACAGTTATCGGCTGCTTGTCTGAGTCTTTGACACAGCGCTTGATCCAGAAACATGTTTTTAATGAGTTGTATTCTATCAACAGTTTTACAGAAGCTCTGGATCTTGTACAAGAGGCTATTGGCAGAACTGGGTATAACGAGAGAATCAAGATAGCAATAGATATTGCTGCTACTAATTTCTGCATGGGTGAGAGAAACAAGTTTCCTAAATAATAGCCTATTTGAACAATAGGATATGAAAAACTGGAAGAAGGGATCAAAAAATGCTTTATTGGATTCGTACTACTTGCTGATAATCCACGTTCATCACCCTTTCTCCAGTTATTTTCCTTACAGATGGTCTCCATAAGGAAAACCCGTTAATCTACTCACATGAAATAAATGTTTCCTTTCCTGCAGCAAAACTTACCCTAAAATTACATTTTTTCTCATTCACTGTAGGTACCAAATA